GATTACCATTGCTTGTGTAGTAAGTTTTAAAATCAAGAAGTGGGAATTCCTCCTACTGTTTTCTTTTGCAAGATTGTTTTGGTTACTTTGGATTTCCAATCATTCCATTTAAATTTTAGAAACAGCTTATGAATTTCTATAAAAAAATCAGCTGAGATTCTGATGGAAATTGCCCTGAAAATTTACAGTAATTTAGGAACATTCTTATCTTAAGAATGTTAAATTATCTGATCCATGAACATGGGATATTTTTCCAATTATTTAGATCTTCTTAAATGTCTTCATTGATGTTCTATAATTCTCAAACTATAAAGTTTAGCACTTTTTTTGTTAAATTTATTCCTAAGCATTTTATCCTTTTTTTGGATGCTATTCTAAGTGGAATTGTTTTCTTATTTTCATTGTTTAATTGTTCTTTTTTTAAAGATTTTATTTATTTATTTATTTGACAGAGAGAGAGCACAAGCAAGAGGAGTGGGAGAGGGAGAAGCAGACTCCCCGCTGAGCCGGGAGACCAATGCAGGGCTCAATCCCAGGACTCTAGGATCATAACCCAAGGCAGAGGCAGATGCTTAACCAACTGAGCCACCCAGGCACCCCTGTTTGATTGTTCATTGCAAATATAGAAATACAATTAATTTTTATACATTGATATTGTGTCCTACCCCTTTGTGAATTCATTTATTATTTCTAAGAGTTTTTATTGAATTACTTAGGATTTTCTATATATAAGATCATTTATCTGTGAATAGAGTTAGTTTTAGTCTTCCATTTTAATCTCAATGCCTTTCTTTTACCTAATTTGCCTAACTGTTCTAGCTAGAACCTCCAAGTTAATGTTAAATAGAGGTTGTATGCACAGACACTCTTGTCTTTTTCCTGATTTTAGAGGGAAAGCATTCAATATTTTACCAATATTTAGGTTTTTTATAGATGTTCTTTATTAAGTTGTGGATATTCTCTTATTCCTAGTTTGTTGGGTGTATTTGTCATAAAAGAGCATTGGATTTTGTCAAATGCTTTTTCTGAGTCTATTGATTGGGATGTCATGATTTTTGCCTTATTGTACTTTTCAACAACCTAATTTCCATTTGTCCCTTTTTCATAATTTCCATCTTTTTATTGATATTCTTTATCTGATGCAACATTGTTATGATACCTCCAATTAGTTCTTTGATCATGATTTCCTTTAGTTGTGTGAACATGTTTACGATGATTGCTTTAAAGCCTTTTTCTGATAAATCTGACATCTGTTCTCCCTCCTAGAGTTTTTCTGCTTTTTCTAATGTATGGGTCATACTTCCTGTTTCTTTGCATGCCTCATAATTTTTTTGTTGGAAACTAGATATTTTAGATCATATATTGTAGCATCTAGATATTTTATATAATATATTGTTCCTACTCTGGAGTTTGTTACTGTTATTCGATTGTTTAATTATAGGCACACCTCAGAGATATGATGGGTTCAGTTCCAGACCATCACAATAAAGCAAGTCTAATGTTTTTTCTTTGTTTCCCTGTGCATATAAAAATTGTGTTTACATTGTACTGTAGTCTACTAAGTGTGTGATGACATCATGTATAAAAAACCTAATGTATATACTTTAATTTAAAATACTTGGTTGCTGGGGCACCTGGGTGGCTCAGTCGTTAAGCGTGTGCCTTCAGCTCAGGTCATGATCCCAGGGTCCTGGGATCGAGCCCCGCATTGGGCTCCCTGCTCGTCGGGAAGCCTGCTTCTCCCTCTCCCACTCCCGCTGCTTGTGTTCCCTCTCTCGCTTTCTCTCTCTCTGTCAAATAAATAAAATCTTAAAAATAAATTAATTAATTAAAATAAATTAAAAAATAAAATACTCGGTTGCTAAAACATGCTATCATCTGAGCTTTCAGCAAGTCATAATCACTGGTCACAGATTACCATAACAAATATAATCATGAAAAAGTTTGAAATATTGCTAAAATTACCAAAATGTGACACAAAGAGACAAAGTGAGCAAATACTGTTGGGAAAATGGCGCTGATAGATTTGCTCAATGGTGCTGATAGACTTGGTCAATGCTCAATGCCACAAACATTCAATTTGTAAAAAAAAAAAAAAAAATCCAAGATCTCCAAAGTGCAGAAGCCCGATAAAATGAGGTATGCTTGTATTTAGTAACTGACTAGATTATTTTAGTGAGGTCTCTTTCCTCCCGACAGCGCTCAGCCTCTGATGTTGTTCCTCAGGGAGCCACAGCTTTGGAACGCTGTCACCCTGGGATGACAGGGGATTCAGTAGGCTTCTCTTTTTGTCTTTCCCAGACCACATCCCATGGTTAGACCCCATTGATTTACTGCTGGTTTTTCTATTGTTTTCAACAATGTCCTGGGTCATAAATTGATCTACCAATTAATCCAGTCAAATTCTAACTCCTTGGAAGGAATAGTTTCTGAAGCCAGGGTTTGATTTTTTGTTCTGATCCCAGGAGGGTTCCTCCTACATGTATTATTCCCTTGTTGTCACCTGCAAACCAGCCAGCCTACAGCTCAGTTTGTGTCTTAAATCTCCTCCCAACTGTCTTCCCCGAGAACCTCCGCTATTCTTGAGAGCACTTGAGGCTTGAACTTCTTCACTCTCTGGTGCAGATGTGGTCTGTTCCTGGGAAAGAGAGTAGAAATTATCTGTTTTGTGGATGTTTCTCCACCCAGGCAAAAATCTCTGAGCCAGGGCTCAGTGAGGTGGGTGTAGCTACACAGCAAAATATGATGCAGAATTTTGAAATAATGAAACCGAGGTCATTGAAAATAATGAGGTATATGCTGATGTAGAAAGATCTCCAATGTATATCATTAAATGAAAAGAACACCGTGGCAGTAGTAGTTTGATCCCTTTGGTGTACATTTGTCAAATACTTAAATGGGTGTATATATGTGGGCATTGTCTTTTTTTGTGGAAGACACCATAAGCTATGGGTTATTTTTGGCAAGAGACTATGGGGAGGTGGGAAAGAGGCTTTCCCGTGTTATTTTCCCCTCTAGATGTGTTTAGGATGTTATGATCCTAGATATATATTACTTTTTTTTTTAATGCCAAAAGCATATCCTAGGTGGGGAGATTTGGGCCACTTTCGCTTTTCTTCTTTATTCTTCTGTATATAAATTTTTAATTGTTAGGTTAATGTTATAGAGGAAGGTTTGTGAAATGGAAGTGTACTTTTCATGAGTACAAGCTCATGAAGTGAGGCTCCTAGTTTTCCCAATTACCTATGTCTCACGTGCACCTGGTGGCCATCTTGCCACCTGACTCCAACTATCCAAGTCACAAGCAGAGTTAACCGATCACTATTGAAAACCTAGAAAGGGGAAAGCCCTCCTGTCAGAGCTGTTCAAAGACACAAGAGCATGAGGTGCCTGAAGGCGGCTTTATTCAGACCGTTGCTCCTCAAAATGTGGTCCGTGGACCAGCAGCATCAGTGTCGCTTAAGCACAAATTGGAAATGACGAACCTCAGTCCCCATCCCAGACCTACTGAACCAGATCTGCATTTTATAGGATTCCCAGGTGATTTATTAGCACGCTGTCTGAAAAGCATTTGACAGGTTCCCGGCTTATCATCCGCTGCTATGCACTGTAATCACCTGCAGGGTCCTTTAAATCCATCAGGACAGGGTGGGTCCCAACATAGACAGAAGGAATCCACATCTGTGGGGTGGACCTTGCATGGGAGATTCTAATGTTGGGCCTGGGAATTCGAATTCCCCAGAACAATCAATATCTCCTCGCAATACACCTCAAACATCGCATCTGTGATAACCACTGATTTACAGAGGGCTTTCTATCTACTGCTCACTATACTAAGCACTTTATACATTCCACCTCTTTCTATCTCTACAATCCCATAAACTTGGCATTGGCACGTTCATCTTACAGACAAGAAAATGGAATCTTAGAGTTTGTCTGTCCCCAGTCTCCTGTAGCTGGTAAGGGGCAGAGGGCAGGTTCAACCCAAGGAGCTTCATCTGTATGTTCTTCATTACAATATAGCTGTTTGCTTGTGCCTCTCATAAAATATTACCCTTTGTGACTAAGAAGTATGTGATCCTAGGGGCACCTGAGTGGCTCAGTTGGTTAAGCATCCAACTCTTGATTTCGGCTCAGGTCATGATCTCAGGGTCATGAGATTGAGCCCGGTGTTGGGTTCCGTGCTCAGTGCGGAGTCTGCTTGAGATTCTCTCTCCCCCTCTGCCCCTCTCTCCACTCGTGCTGTCTCTCGATCTCTCTCTAAAATAAATAAATTAAATCTTAAAAAAAAAAAAGTACGTGATGCTTTCTTGATCTCTGGCGCCCAGTTCAGTGTAGATACTCAATGAGAATTGGAGCAACGTTGAGGGCATCACAAGCTTGATGTTTGGACGTGTGCAATATAACGTCAATGGGTAAAAATATCTATGGGTGAGACGCGGTCCAGAACCCTGGCCCTAGATGACACATGCCTGTGCCCTCCCTCAGAACCCCATCAGGAACTTAGTTGATGCCTACTAATGTTTTATCTGAAAGCCTGGCCTCCCGTCATCATCATGCAGACTTTCCGCCATAACATACCTCCCCTTCTTTGACAGGTTAGGGGTCTGGGCTGCTCATGCCAACCTTCCCCATATGTTAGGTGAACGCATGACATGCTTCCGCGGCCCCCCATGCGGTTCATCAGAGAAGAGAGCACGAGAGAGGGTTCAGCTAAACAAACACTCAAGTCCCTTCCAGACCCATTTATAGTTTCTGTTTCAGCTGTAATTCCTGGTCCTCCCCAGTGAGCAGACATCTGTGTCCTCCCCAATGAGCAGACATCCGCACAGGCTTATGGAAGGCACAATGTGCTCCCCGTCGCCCGTAAGAAAGCCAAAATGCAACCTAGACCACAAGTTCAACCTTGCTCTCCGCTGAAGCGCTTTTTCCCTCCGCTCTGAAAGGCACCTCCCCACCCACGTCGATGTCCCCACAAAATCCCAAGAGAGATCAGTGAGTTACTCTGATGTTTATTTTAATGCATCTTAGTCCACACAGTTGGTATAAAATCAGGAAAAGCAAAGCCAAAAAAAAAAAAAAGGTCTGGAGTCTTAGCATCAGAAGGGCACCGTATATACATCTACAGTTGGTGGCCAGTACGAGTCATTGCCAGACAGTCCTTGGAAGCAGAGAACAGTCTAGACCCAGCTGAGCCCTGGGAATGCACAGTCCCAGGCAGGGGGGCGTCTAGAGGCTTGTCCCGATGCTCCGACCGTAAGAAGAATGTGGGAGCGATAAAAGCTGTGTTTATTATTTCTTTATTATTGTAATAACTGCAGCCTAGCTAGGTACAAAAGCAGTTATAAACCATTTATAGTACAGAGAATTATTCAGGTCTCCATTCTACTTTATGTCGTAAAATCGTTAATTGAATTTCCAGTGAGTAGTTTAGATGATTAGTGATAATAAGGAATGGTAAATACATAGCACCATTTCATAGGTTTGTTGTCACCGATTTCTCATCTCGACGTGTGACTGAGACACCCACCGTCAAGGGCAAGTATTCCAAGGCCACAAGCCATGTTTTTGCCGAGGGCTCCAGTTTGGGGGTTTTGTCCATGTGAGTGTGAGGCTTCGCACAGAGGTGTGGGCGGTGCCCGTCTCTGTGCGAGATGCACTGGGTCACCCACAATTTAAGGGCTTTTGGCCATTCGGAGTTTCTACCCATACTTTGGTTTTCTAATGAGGTGGAGTGGAAGGGAGGTATCTTCTTTCAGATAAAAGGGAAGGGGCAAGACGGAGTTATTTCATGTCCGGGCAAAACAAAAAGAACAAAAAACAGAACAAAAATACTGAGCTCGATTACACGGTTAGGATGTAAAGTTCCTTAGCTACTTCTTTAGGATTCAACACAAGGCTGATGGTCAACATAAAAAGCAAACAATACTATGTACATATATGTAAAAAGTGTTATAAATAGGTTTATAAACCGTAGATATTATATACATCTTCAGTCAACACTAACCCCCCCTTCAACTGCTTTCTGTTTGGTTTGGTTTGAGTTTGGGTTTTTTGACTAGCTCTTTTTTTTTTTGTCTTTTTGTCTTTTTTTCTTCTGGTTTCTGGTTTCCTTCCTCCCTTCCCCTATGTATGCTCAGTGCCTCAGACCAGCTGTCTGGGAGCCTCATTCGCGTTTCCGCAAGATCACGTATATGACGCCGCTGAGCAGGGCCAGAGGGAAGGCCACCCAGGCCAGGATGTAGGCAAAGCCATAGGAGTACTCAGAGTTGAAATGCCATTCCGGGTGCCTCACCGTGTAGATGGATGCTGCGCTCATCACGCACAGACCTGGGGAAAGAGAGGGACAAGTAGGGGGAGGGAGAGGTGACAGAGAGGGGTCCCCTGTCCACCACCCCTGGTGCGGATCCCGTAGGACCCTGGGTACCTGCTCTTGACTCACACACACTCACACGCACACACCCCACAGGTCAAGAGTATATCTGATTCTGGAAGGAATCTTCTGCCAGATCGAGAGGAGGGGTCTCAAAGATCTAGAAACACGGGAAGCGATCTGTTCTCTGGTTCTGATCTATGTGACCCAGACAAGCATTTCCACAGTCCCTTGTCATCTTTTCTGCCCCATCTCTGTTCCTTTAACTGTCACCAATTCCTAGTTGACAGCAAGAATTTGGGCTGCAAAATAAACCTTGCTAGCTCTTTTCCAAGGAGGGTTGGGTGTGGGAGCTCCTGGAAATCTATGAACGGCTCTACAAATGGGTGGTGGCGTCATCTGAACCAGGAAATTGAAATGACACTCTGCCATTACCTGAGTCATGCAAGGACCAGAGCACTGGGCTCGAGGCCGAACCCAGGGCCCCTCAGCAGGCCTGCCATGTAACAGGTCGAGTGATCCATGCCTACCGGCATCGCTTAGGCATACAAAGGAATAGAGAGAGAGGAAAAAGAAGACGAGGAGGAAGGACAGGATACGAGTGGGAAGCAGAGGGAGGAGGAAACTACCATTGCGCTTGGTCCCTTCCAACAGTTCCTGGTGCCCCCAAGGCTGGGGCTGAAGCCCAAAGAGGAGAGAAAGGTTATTGGATACACAGATAAATCCCCTGCCCACCTCTGCAGCCCTTTGGTGTGGGGAAGACAAGAAAAACCTCCACCTAGGGGCTCTTGAAGCAGGCAAGTTCAAGAGTGATGGCCAATGCCCACAATGGCAGTTGGCATCACCCTGCAGGGGGGGTCCAGTGATGTCAGCACCCCAGCCCGGAGCTGCACAAAGCCCACTCTGTTCCCTCTGTTCCTTCCTGAAAACAGGGTCTGTGAGAGGCTCTGAGTGACTCTATTATAAATCCAGCATGCTCTGCGGGATTCCTGTGGTTCCAAAGCTCCCAATGCCCCAGACCACCTACATCTAACCTCACTGCTATTTGGGCTGCCATTCTGCGGGACACTGCAACTTTGTTTGAACAAAGTGCATTAAGTGGGAATACGTTACATTCACCACCCTGATAAGACTGTCCTTCTCCAAGTCGGAGAAGAAAACTCCCACACGGTTGGCCCCAGCTGAGAACATGCTTTATTTGCCCTGAGGCCGTGATCCCCAATTCTCTTCCCCCCCTCCCCACGCCCCCATGACTCACCTCGGCGAAGCGCAAATTCGTGTCTTTAAGAAAGACTGAGGTCTCTGGGGCAATACTGACCTACCTAACGAGGGCAGGGCTACGAGAAGAGAAATGTGACCGAGGGAACAGCGTGCAAAAAAAGGCCAGGCCAATGCTTGGCACGCTGGGAAGGCTTCCAAATGGGCCACGCGTCTACCTGGCCACCACATGAGAAAAGGCCACGGGGGGCTGTGTAGACCAGCCGTGCCCCGATTTCACTGGCAAAGAGCGAACATCCTATCTGTGACCAAGAGGGACAGAGGCAGGATTCACAAGTATAGTGACTACGTAGACGGCCTAGTTTATATGAAACTCGCCTGAGGAGCATCTCGGAAGCCAATGAACTGGAGCTTCGCCGCAATCAGCAATGAGCGGAGATACTTTACAAAGTAAAGTATGGAGAGTGGATACACGCTTTGTAATTACTGTCGTCGGGAGACTGATGTTTTAGGGAATATGTTATTACAAGGCTGCCTGGCTGTATAGCATTACAGGTACACTGGGATATAGGGTAGTTGATGCCACACGGTAGTCCCGAAAGATGTCCCCGTAAGTGGGTGGGAACTTGCTTCCTCACCCACCAGTAGGTGGGGGCGCAGGGATGAAGGCCCCCCATGGGGAAGCTGAGTGAGGTTGCTGCTGCACCAGCAGCCTTGTACCTTCCTTCCCCACGGACGAGCAGTCTGTGCTCTGGGAGTGATGGGGATGCCCCGGCAGGGGCCTGAGTCCGGAAGGGTAGTTAGCTGTCAGTGGCAGCCCCAGACCCCATCCAGACAACATTCGAGAGTTTCTCCCTGTCAGGATGGCTGGATCTGCAACCAGCCCCTTAAAGCCCCCTTGAAGAGGAGGCCTCAAGCCCCCTTCACAGCAATAACAACCACGGGTGAGCGATCAGAGCCCAGAACCTTTAGAAGGGAGCAACCAAGGGGCCAAAGGCGAAGCAAGAAACGGAGGGAAGTCTCAAAACTTCCGTATCTCCATTCTGTTTGGCTCCGAACACATGTAATGAGCGCCTAGTGCGGGCGGGCACTGTTCTGGCTACTGAGGCCACCAAGATGGATAAGACACGGCCCCTAGCTTCAGGGGGGAGTGTCATTCAGCAGCAGACATGTCCATAGAAACTTCCGATATGGTCTGACATGATTTCAAGAGAGGGAGATGCTCTGACAGGATGGACAGGCATGGAGTCCAAACTGGGGGGCCCAGGGAAGCCTGACAGGGCAGACGGTGCTTGACCCGAGTCTACAGGGTGTGGACAAGGTAGCCAGGGGAAGCGGGTCCTGACAAGGATCTCCCCTGCAGTGCGTGGGGAGGCTGGGAGTGCTGAACGGCACGCTGAGGAAGTTGTGGTGGGAAGCACATCTTCAGCAGAGGGGAAACATGATCTGAGGTGTGTTTTAGAAAGATCTCTCTGGCAGCAGCGTGGGAAATGGATTTCGGGGGAGCGACAAAACGAGACGGGAAGGCGCCCGAGGTGGCTTTTGCATGAGGGTAGTGGTGTTCATGAGGACAAGAAGAGAACAGAAGTGGACAGAACGTCCACACAGGGGTGGACTGGGTCTGGGGTAAGGGAGAGAGGGGACACCCCCCCGCCTCCCCAGCATGGCCCCCTGGTGGGCTAACTTAGCTCACCAGGGAAACAGGGATGTCCGGAGAGCCGGGAGGAGCGAACAGTCAACAGAACTGAAAGGAGTGGAGGGACTCTGCCAGTGCCATCAGGGATTTATATCAGTGACCTCCGCAGAAGCCACTCGTTCAAAAACCTGGAGCGGAAGCCAGAGGGAAGTTGGCTAGAAAGTCAATGGTGCCTCCTGGTGTTGGTTGGAGGAGTGAGTGACTCTGAGTCACCCCACCTGGTCCTGAGCATCATGAGGTGGGGCAGAAAGAGGCTGGAAGGTCCCTTCCTCTGAAAGCATTGGGCTCTCTGTCTGACCTATGCAGAACCTTCTCTGTGCTGCTGGTCCGATTTCCGATTTCAGCATCTAAGTGACCCTCACTGCCTCGAAAGCCACCCACTGCACTCCTGGATTCCAACTTGGGCTCGGCCAGTGCAACATCTGGAATGGTTCGCTGCGAAGGGGGGGGGTCCCCCTAATGTGGCACCTGGTTGCCAACGGCCTTTGAGCCACTCGGAAGAGGGAGGGCACTGTGCTTTTTTATTCATCCCCCAAAGTCTTTTGTTCTAAAGCCCTACGTCTGTATCAGTCTGTTTCACAGAAGAAACAGAACAAACAGAAACACTCACTCAGGAGTCTCCTTTACCGTCTTCTCTGTTTTTAGTAATCACAATAAATAGTAACTACACATGTGACCCGTGTTTGATTCTGCCAAGGGAATACAATTACCCAGTCATCCAACAAGTGGGTTATTCAGGGACTTCTATGTGGTGTGCCCGGAGCTCGGTGCTGGGTGTTAACTAGTGAAATATAAATCCAAACACGGGGCTCTGTCTTTCAGGTCGGTATCTCTATGAATTTCTCGATGCTTTCTCATCAAGTGCAACCCAGCCCAGCAGACGTAGGATCATGGTAACCACTGTCTGAGAACAGGGTGGTACCGGTTCTGAAAATAAAAAAGACTCCAAAATCCAGGGAGAGGATCAGAATGGCTCTTCTCTAAGAAGGGGGTTTAGAAGAATCTGTGGCTCACGAGTGGGATGAGTCTCTGGCAGACAAATTCCTAGAGGACCTTACAGTGGGATTAGGGAGAGTGTGATGGCTACACCAACAGTTCCCAACCCTGGATGAACATCAGAGTCGTCCAGGGAGCAGCCCCACCCAAGAGCTTTCCAGGGATGAAGCCTGAGCACTGGCATTTTTTTTAAAGCACCCTCTTTTTAAAAAGGTGATTAAAAAAAAAAGATTTATTTATTTGAGGGGGAGGCGGGAGGGGCAGAGGGAGCAGGAGAGAGAATCCCAAGCAGAATCCCTGCTGAGCACAGAGTCTGACACGGGGCTCGATCCCACGCCCCTGAGATCAGGACCTGAGCTGAAACCAAGAGTCAGATGCTCAACCGACTGAGCCACCCAGGCGCCCCTAAAGAGGTGATTCTGATGTACAGCTAAGATTGAAAAGCAATGAACTGGATGGAGCCTCTTGACACATCTCCAGGAAGCAGCCAACCTAAGAAGTATGTAACCAAGGGAAGACAGCTCTTCAATGTGAGACTTATGGCTTATTATGAAAAGCAGAAGGGGATGAGTCAGCAAAGCAGGCGGACCGATAAGCACCCACAGAGGTGTAATCTAGAGCAAGCAGAGACGGCTCCTAAAGCTACAGTCAGCCCCGAGAGGCCCCCACACCTTGTACCTGTCTTTCCCGCACACTCATGTGTATGATCTATGAAGACTGCAGCTGGGCCCTCCAAAGGAGAGCGAGGCAAAGACAGTGCAGCCCAAAACAGCCACCTGGGAGACTCTGAAGATTTTCCAGTGGCTTCCACTTAAAATGCTTCGGTGCAGGGCACCTGGGTGGCTCAGTTGGTTAAACGTTTGCCTTCGCCTCAGGTCATGATCCCGGGGTCCTGGGATCCAGCCCCACATTGGGCCTGCTTCTCCTTCTCCTCCCTGCTTGTGCTCTCTGTCTCTCTCTCTCTCTCTCTCAAATAAATAAATAAAATCTTTAAAAAAGATAATAAAAACTTAAAAAAAAATAAAATGCTTTGGTGCTTTGAAGAACCAAGGGAATCTCTACGGGAAGCCCCTTCCTCTTTTAGTCCTCAACTTGAGTGGCAAAACCCTACAGAGCAAGTTCAAATGCAACATTCTGGAGAGCCTGTGATGACCAGAGGACTCACTTTCAGCTCACATGAACTGGAGTTCAAGTTAGGAACAGAATATTCTTTGGGCTTATAGATTACGACCACTCCTGTGGCTCGACATGGCTAATTCAAGACAACTTCTTACTGAAATAGGGGCCGCCAGGCTGACAAACTGATAAACTGAAAACTGGATCCCATGAGAGATAAGAAGCTACATGCAAAGAGGAAGAATGAAGAACAAATCATGTGCTTTTAGACTTAGCGGGGTTTTTTTATAGCAGAATTCTAACGGGCTTGCATTGAGTTCAGAGGAGATTCAGAACAGGATGGGTTAGCAAATACATGTTGGAAAAGCAGAGTTTCTGCCTTGGATTTTGGGTTCTGTGGCAATTTTGGTGGATTCTGCATCTCTAACGATCAGGAGGTTCCTAACTAAATATTGAGTCCATGTAGAATGCATTCTGTTGTTCTTGTGTGAGCTGGGCAACCTTGGGTACTCATGACACTCTCCTGGTCTCAGTTTATTTATCAGTAAAGTAACACGCTGGGGCAGGTCAAATATAAACATTTGATGAAAGTTCTGGTTCCTAAGTCTGGATTGTTTTATCTCGAGGACACATCCATTGATGCAACAAGTATGATCATCATTTGGCTTGATATCAAACTGTAAATGGTGAGCCGAAAAAGAAATCCCAGAATACATTCTAGTTTTGCGTAAGACTTCTGGAAGCGGAGTGACTAATGATAACTCTGCTTCTAACATACCTAGGGATGATATCTTACTCCATAATTTGTGATTTAACAAAACTGGCAACACTCCAGTATACCAAACCTGTCTTGGTATAAAAAAACCATACAAGTAGCAAAGCACTGTTCGGTTTTGAAATCCTCAAATGGTACATAATGAAATGAAATGTTGTGTTTGAGGATTTAATGAGAAGTAACTGTCCAGTCTAATTCCTTCTTCCGGGAAAGGGTAACTCTCTGGCTTCTAGAAAAGGTCATCAACATTCAACCTCAGGCTGTGCCTTACCATACAGCCTTGTGTAAGCCATTATATCCCCACATCCATCCATCCATCAAGGACATGTGGGCTGTTTTCAACCCTCCGATGATGCTCCTGAGCACAGGGTGGTGATTCAGCACCATGGACATTCTGACAACCAACCAAGAGATAGCATAGCCCTTTGCCTACTCAGCCAGACACTAAAACATCTCACAGTACATATGGTATATATGGAATTTGTGACTTATTAACATGGATTCTAGGAGCCACCACCCCAACTGCCTCTTACTTCTCTCTAGTGCTTGCTGACCCAGTCAACTGGTAGTCAACAGACAGAAGAAGGGTAAGTGTCAATGAAGGAAGACATTGCTCAGAATCTAGAGACAAAGTTGGAAGATGTCACCCTCTATAATAGAAGCTTCTTGGACTCTGTATGGATAACACATCCAGCGGGGGGACGTGAAGGCAGTTTAAGGAGGAGTTGAAGGAGACCTCTCGTGTGTTGTCATGGCCCCATGTTTGGAAATGATGGCATATTACACAGGGGTGCCAAAATGAAGACACCTGAGGATGACAGTAGTAAATCAAAGCCCACCGGAAGCCTGGAGGGGGAGTAAAGGAGAGTAAGAATTCACCATGGCTTCATCACTGCTTAGAGGGAGGAGACACAAGCTCAGCAGCATATCGGGACCCCTTTCCATGCCCAAGCAGGGATAGTTCCTCGGGGCATAACATAATTTACAGCGATACGCCCTCAAAACTGGCCTTGGTCCTACTGATACTCTTGGCATTCACCTCTGATTACATCTCCAGATTGTAGCTTCGTTCCTGGTGACAGGTCTGGCTGGGTTAGGGACCTTCCTTCCGGAGCCCCTAAGTCTTATTTCCTATGGATCTCATTCCATGGCGTCGTGGAGAGTTCCCAAATTCTAAGGTGTAGGTACACACACTCACTCACACACACACACACCCCTTCCAAAACCATCCAAGGTACAGACTCACAAACATCAGTCCTTCTGGGGCCATGTCCCTCTACTGACTGATCATTCACCAGCCTTGGACAGGCACAGTCTCCACAGGAACTGGATATCATCTCCAACTTACCGGCAAGGATTTGGAAGACTCCAGTGATGTAAAACCGGCCCCCTTTGGTGAGGGTGAAGAGCTGGCAGAAGAACAGGAACAGGGACAGAACACTGAAGATGATGGACAGGATCATGGTGGCCTGGACAGACTGCAGCCATTCTGGAGGGGAGAGACACCAGGTTAGGAAAAGCCCGCCAGGGCTGGGGGAGGGGCTGTGCCATGAGGAACATGGCGCCCGGTGCACCGTGACCCCTAAAACCCACAGTCCTCCCAGGTGGCAGAAGCCCTCTTTTATGAGCAGAACTCACTTGTATAATTCACTTGTATAATACCTACTTAATTGTGGTCCTTTTAAGAAAGGGCTGTACAAACACTGCACCAGTCCCACTACTAAGAGTTAAACTCAAGTTAAAATATATTGAACTCCTTCCCAGGCTTTTTGCCAAATGTGTTACTCCCACATAAGTACATGTGTTAAAGAGGGTCTGAGCCCCACCCACTGCCTTCTCTCTTCTTGCCCTCAAAGGGCTTTCAAGGGCTTGCTTATTGGAACCCCTGTATTCCAAGAATAATTTAAAATCACTGTTCAAAATATCAGCATCCCCCAAGAGAGACAGGGATCGTGAGGATTGTTGGGAAGAACAAACAGTATTGATGCCAAAACCAATTTTGTAGTAAATTGGAAGAAAATGCTGATGGAGAAGAGCGAGCTATGAAAATCTATTTGCTTGGCCAAGCGCTATCTTGGTCAGTCTTAACCCCAGTCATGAGCCTCAGCACAGAGCGCTCTGTGCTTAGGCAAATCGCCAGGTGGGATGCTGGGATTCTACTTCCGCAGCTTCGTTGAACCCCCCAGCTTGGGATAAAATCCCCAAGCTTCCAATTGAAATGCAGGCAGAAAAGGGAATTCTGTAGTTCACCGTCTACTGCCAAAGAATGTCGTCTTAGGAGGGAAGGGAGAAGAAGACACAGCATGGGCTCAGCACTACAGAGGGAACCTGAGGTGTCCCCCTAGGAGAGCTGTATTTGGCTTTGCCCACCTGTCACCCGCGTCCTTTCCTCCAAGTGCCAAAGAATCACTGGGGTGGGTGCTGCTCTAAACAAGGCAAAGCAACTGGGGAAGCCACAGGGCTTTATCCTCTCAGCCCAGTAACTGAGTGGTGTGCAAAAGCTTCAAGAAACGCATCGATGCTTAACACGGTACTCCAAGCTATGAAATCTGCATGACTTATAATCAACCACTGAATATGATGAACGTCGTTTGAGTCACAAGGAGATCACGGCAGAATTTTAAGGGCGCTGGCGGGGTTAACTGAAGAAATGTCGGAGCTCCGCTAATCCAGCTCCTTTGTACTGAAAGAGACTTCCGGAGATGTTCTGATGAGCCCAACAGGCAAGGCCAACTCTGGGAGGCCCTTGATTCCAGCCTAGTATTCTTTCCACTGTGACAGAACATTTGCTCCTTTTATGTTTTCAATGTCTTTGTCAATTAAGGTAAGAAAATGATGTCCCGGGTAGTGAGCCATCCTGACTTCATTTTTTATATACCTCTTCATTAAATCTGTCTTTCTCCAGCCCTAGTGATTCCTCTAGGGGAGCAGTCTGCAATAAAGTTAATGTTGCCGTAATGCTATTTTTTCAAAAGTAAACCAATTATCTGGTGCTCTGGTAGGTGAGGCTGGAAACATAAAGATACATGAGACCCAGATCCAGAACGAAAACAGTGATTGAGTTTTTTGGCTGGGAAACGTTCTTCCGGGCACCCCCTCCCAGGCAGAGTGGCTGAGGCAGATGACAATCTGGATTTCCTCCTCCAATTCTGAAACCTTTACCTTACTCTTTACCTCCCCTACCACTAACAACAGACTTCACATTTAGAGAAAACTCAAAATCTTTGACGCTAAATCTACAGGAATAGGAAAAATCCCTTAGACTTAGAAATGCAGCTAAAGCCTTCTTGAAACTTCTTCTACCAATAATTTGAACTTGAGTCCCAACACCATTACAAAGGAGTTATTTTGCCATAAGGTGTCAAATCAGATCAGAATTAGGGGGTCAAGGAAGTTTTTATTCAATGGGCATTTATTTGCTGAACACTTACTATTTTGAGGCTGGCTCTGTGGTAAGCTCTGGGAATACAATGTTGAAGAAGGTTTTCAACCATAAGTACAATAAATAAAATACATACATGAAGATAGTAAATCCAACTACATCATCAATCACAATATATGTAAATATATTGTGATTGATTCAAGTCACTCGTGAGAAGATGAAGAATTTCACCTTGAATTACATAATTCCCATTGATAGTCTGATACAAGAGATACACCTAAAACAAACAACAGTGGAAAATCGAAAGATTTTAAGAAGAGGTGGCAGGCAAATATTAACAAAAAAAAAAAGTAAGTATAGTAATAATAGCATCAGACAACACAGAATTTAAATTGAAAAAGATGAAAGGAGGCAAAGAGGGATACCTCATAGTGAGGAAAGACCCAGTTGACCATGAAGAAATGCTAGTCGTAAAGCTTTATGCCTATAAAATAACATGGCCCAGAAAAAGTATAAAGTAAAAGATAATTGGGAGAAGAAACTGACAAAGTCACAATCATAGTGAAAGGCCTTAGCATACCTCTCTCAGAATAAACAAATCAAGTAACTTAAAAAAATACAGTAGCAGAGAGATTATGGATAACAAGATTCACCACTTCAATTTAGTAGATATATAGAAAATTTGTGTCCATATAACAAAGACCATGAATTATTTTCAAACGTACAAGTAACAGTCTTACACGCTATGTATTAGGCGACAAGTAAATCTCAATAAATCTCAAAGGAAGCAAAAGTAATACAGGCATAAATCGAGGCGAACAGAAAGTAGGAATGAAAAACAAACTGGCCAAAATAAGATTGGAAATTTAAAAATAGTATTTGGACAAAGAAATCAAGATGAGAACTAAAACTTTCTTCAGCAGAGGTTGGGATTCAGAGAGCCGTCAACGTCAAATCTATGGGCGGTGGTCCAAGCCGTACTCTCAGTGGAAAATGTACGCCCTTAGAGCATGTACTAAAAAATACAAGTATTGGCAAAGAATGAACTAAACTTTCCACTTAAGAAGTTAGAAAAGGAATAATTAAATGGATCCAAAATGAACTGACTCATTACTGATGAGAGCAATTGTTAATAAAATTTAAAAAGGACAAAAATACAATTAATTAAAGAATCATGTTCTTTGGTGGGGGGGCTCAATAAGGCAGACAAATTTTATTAAAGCACGTAAAAGAAGTGCTAAAGACATAGAAACATACTATGTTTCCAGATAGAAATACTCAAAGTCTTAAAGATGCCGTTTTCCCCCAAAGTAATGTGCAAATTCGATGATATCCTAAATAATATCCCAACCAGAACTTGACAAATGCTTTAAAAATTTATCTGAGGGCCACTGGGTGGCTCAGTCACTTAAGAGTTTGCCTTCGGCTCAGGTCATGACCGCGGGGTCCTGGGATTGAGCCCCGAATCGGGGCTCCCTGCTCAGCAGGGAGTCTGCTTCTCCCTCTCCCTCTGTTCCTCCCTCTGCTCATGTGCTCTCGCTCTCAAATAAATAAATAAAATCTTTAAAGAAGTAAAATAAAAAAATAAAAACTTATCTGAAAGACAATAAGTAATAATAGCCAAAACAATTTTTGAACCAAACACAAGAAGAAAAGACAAAAATACACAAACAAAAACAATGAGTCAGAACATCACCTACCAGATATCCAAATATAGATATGCAAAGCGTGTATTTATATTATAAAGTTCTAGCAGTTCAAACAGTGTGGTATTAGCCATGAAAGAAAAATAAAACAATGGCGCAGAACTGAGACTTTGGGAGTGTATCTGTGAATTCAGTATATAACAAACATAACATATAAATCAGTAGAGAAAAAATACAACAGATACCAAGTGGGGATGGCTATCCATTGGTCAAAAAAAAAAAAAAGATCTCTAGCTCACATCATCCACAAAGTTCAATTCCAGATGCATCAAAAAGCTCAGTGTAGAATTATAAAGTCATACAGACACGTGATTGACAAACGAGAAATAGGAATAGCCAATAAACATCTTTAATGGTGCTCAACCTCATTAGTACCCAGGAAAATGCAAGTGAAATCCAGAAGGAATATGATGCCAATGTTTATCTATCAAATTTGCAAAAATCAAAAAGGTTGATAATGTCAACAGAGTACATGTATGAGAGATACCTCTAAACACCGTTCAGAGGAATGATTAATATAATTATCCTTCTGTGACCAGCAATTTGGCAGAATATATTTAAATTGTTAAATGCCAATAACGTGACTCCACAATTTAATCACTACATCGTGGATAAATACTTAAACATATCCTCAAAGAGAAATGAATAAAGATTGCTCACTATACCATCACTCCCATGAGTGGAAATAAATTAGGGTAAATCCCTACAATGGAATATTTTTGCAACAGTGAAAAAGTCACGAGTTGGAAAGTGAACAACCTCTGAAAGATCTCCAAGACAATGAAAAGACTAAGGCGTCCATACAACATGACGTCATTATGTAAATACACACCAAGAAAAACTATAAATACGTGTAAATGTGCAAATACACGCATGAATATGCGTGTGTGTGTTCACTGGAAAAAGAGCCAAAGATGTGCCAACTGATATCCACGGCTGCCCGCAGGAGCTGGAGCTAGATGGAGGAGAGTTTGGTCTTTGGTCAATATCTGCATCGTCAGATTTATTTTTAATACGGAGAATACTTTCCTGTAACATCTGAATAATTAAAACTAACTTAAAAGATCACAAGGCAAAGCAGACATGGCAGCGCACAAGAAGGATTCCAAAGCTCAAAGAACAGTTGGAATCTGAACAGGATTGGTCTTCCACCTGCCGAGAGTCAAGGGACTTCTCCTGCCCTCAAACGCTATCAGATCAGAAGCTACATATGGGAAGGGCGGGGAGATAAAGAACAGAGCCAGGAGGTAGCAGCGTCCATCCCAGCTCCGACAGGCTGGCTGAATTATCCAGAAGGGAGCCCACGAGGTCCTGAGGAGATTCTGAAGTGCAGAGGACATTGCTCCAGAGCCAGAATCCTTCACCTGGATTGGATTCGACCAGGAGCTCGGGGCATGGCAG